TATAAAAGGAAATAAACAATTTAAAGAAGCATTGATTGGTGAGGCAATTTTAGTTTCTACCTATGATAATTTGCTGGTTCTCTTAAATATCCTTTTAGGTATTAATTACCTACCAATTTAACAATTTAATTGGGTATGTTTTTTTCTGTATAATTGGTTATCTTCTGATGTCAAGCTAGAATAGGAAAGTAAAATTTGCAGAGGCAAAAGCTTCAGGGTAATTGGCTTAAAGTAGAATCTATTTCATGATCCCCAAAAACAAATAATGGAGAGTAAGGGGAAATGAGTAAAATATGTATATGCTTTGTGTTCTCACTCTCCATTGAAAGAGAAAACCGAAGTCAAAGTTTGTTTTACTTAAAGAATGATAGGCTGGTAGTAAGCTTATTTTTAAAGCTTTTACTATACCTTTTACACTAGCAGCTTTCATTCACAAAGAAAAGCTTATGTGGTTATGTCACTTAACACGGATTCTAAGGCCCAGTCCAGCCCTAAAAATCAGTGATTCTAATGGCTACTCTGTATGCTGTATCCATTATACACTGTACATAGTACATATATTCTCAAGCACATTTGGCTCTGTTGCCTCTCTATTATTTTTATTTTATTTTTTATTGAAGTATATAGTTGATTTACAATGCTGTATTAGTTTCTGGTATATAGCAAAGTGATTCAGTTATATACATATATTATATATATATATTTCTTTTTCATATTCTTTTCTATGCCGCTTATTACAAGATATTGCATATAATTCCCTGTGCTATACAGTAGGACCTTGTTGTTTACCTATTTTATATATAGTAGTGTGTATCTGCCATTCACAAATTCCTAATGTATTCCTCCCCCACCTCCTTTCCCCTTTGGTAAACATAACTTTGTTTTCTGTGTCTGTGAGTCTGTTTCTGTCTTGTAAATGAGTTCATTGATGTCATTTGTTAGATTCCACATAGAAGTGACATCATTGGTATTTTTTTCTCTCTTTCTGATTTACTTCACTTAGTATGATCATCTCTAGGTCCATCCCTGCTCCTGCAAATAGCATTACTTCATTCTTTTTCATGGCTGAGTAGTATTCCACTGCATATATGTACCACAGCTTCTATATCCATTCACCTGTTGGTAGACATTTGCATTGTTTCTCTGTTTTCGCTACTATAAGTAGCACTGCTGTGAACATTAGGGTGCAGGTATCTTTCCAAATTAGAGTTTTTCCACATACATGCCCAGGAGAGGGAATGCTGAATCACCATGGTATCAGTTGCCTCTTTCTTGAAGTGCCAGTCTGAACTACACATGAAATTGAAGGTGTGCTTCTGGCATAGCTTTCCATAAAAGCAAGGCAAGATTTTTCTAGTGCTTCTCTCTCTGCTGCCCGTGCTGAGAGTGTTTACCCTGCAGCATTAGGAACAATCTACATTTTTCATCCTCAGCACACACAGGCGGATCGCTTCCTGAGTTGCAGTCAACAACCAACATTCCAAATTGCGCCATTTCACCACTTTATTCTGGATGCATGGTGTGTGCCAAACTCACTTTGGAACAATACATTGCTTTCCTGCTCATTTGCCCATGACTCCTGGGAGTTTCCCATTATCCATCCTCGAGAGCTTGACTTTTCACTTCTTAGATACCCAAGGGCTGTCACTGACTGTTCATGAGCCAAACTGCCCCAACTAGGGAAGATTTCTAATGAGAACAGCTCTGACATTCTCCATTTGGGATGTATCAACTTCTCCCTACTTTTTGATCCCTGCGTCAATGCTAAGTCTTTTTTCACAACAAAATAAAGACCCTGATCCTAAGGTGACTTTGTTCAAGTGATAGTGTTTGCTGTGGAATGTTGTCAAAGGCCTTTAGAAAAATCTTTCTCTTTCCACCCTTTTTCTTCATCCTGTTATATCTGCTGAAAATGTTCTTTAAAACTATCCCTTTGTGTTTAACTTTTCGTACCTCTCCATAGCCAAGTCCATCATCTCCATTCACTAAACTCCTTAAAGGTTTATCCAATGACAGGGCTAAGCAAGATCTGAATTCATCTGGTTTTGGCATGCTTCCCACAGTCTACATTTCTGCCTACCCCCGACTCCTTCTTTTAACAGGGGTCACATCTGCAATCTGGCATAGTAGCTTACATACCAATAAATCCCAGTGGCCTAATTTCACCCTCGAGTTCCTGCAAAACTCTCATTGAGTCGCCCTCCACTTGGTGATTTATCCAGATTTATTATGTCAATTTGGCAAAATAGCTCTGATACAGCTACCATTGGATATAATAGCATCCATCTTGCATTTTCAGGGACAATACAAGACTGGTATCTCCCTAGGATCTTATTCATTAAAAGCTAAGGTTTAAGAATTCACCCATGAGCTACCATCACTTCATACTCTGGAGAGCTTTCTGCTCCAGCATCATCTGTAGTCTATCCTCTTTCTTGAGTTAAATTGTTCTCTCTGATTTGAAAGAAACTTGTACTTGCTCTTGAAGTCTTGTATAGAATACTCCTAAATCTCTCTGCATTTTGAAGACCACTTTATCACTCTATTATGTCTGTTCTTCACACTTTGTAGACTCCCCAGTTATTTCTTGAACCATATTTCAGCTTAGGAAAAGAAGCTAATTACTTCCTACAATAAAATTGTTGATACTTCCAGGTATCCATGCAATTGGGAATGCAGGGGACATGGAATAATTTTGAATGAGGTGGTTTTTACAAAATCATTGCATTTTTGTCATAGCTACCAGCTCTAAAATTAGTGAACAACTTAATGAGTGGCCGATCAAAATTCTAGGACAATTATTGTAATGATTAATAGTCATTAATTAATATAAGACATTTATTGTCTTCTAACACAATGTGAGACAAAGTGTGAGGCACTGGGAATTCAGCTAATTGAGGGAACATGATTTATGCCCCCAAGGATCCCACAGTGTGGAGTCGAATCAAATGTGGACTTGTAAATAAATAAATCAAGGTCACTCGGTGATAGGTGAGTGACAGGTACCCAATAATAAATAGGTAACCTGCTCTGACACTGTGAAAGACGGCCCATCCCTGTGTCTCTCCATGAGGCTCATCCTGGCCTGTGTCCTTTGCAATAAAACTGTAATGGCAAAAAGAAGGAGTAAAGGGGAGAGAGAGAGCTTCCACCTCCAGGGGAAGAACTGTTTTTGGAGCAGAGTGAACAGTGATACTGAGCTGAGACTTCATGGATGGGTGGGAGAGCCCTGGGCAGACCCTGGTGGGAGGAACAGGGGCATTAAACAGGCACCGTGGTGTAGAATGAAAGGAATGGTAGCAGATGAGACTGGAGAAAACAGACAAGGCTAGAACTATCCTCTGTGGGCAAATGAAGGCAACGTGGTTTTAAATAATGAAATACTGTGAGTCCCAAGGGGTTTGGTTCTAGGACCCCCTACTGACACCAAAATCTGGGATTTCTAAATCTCTTACAGACATCCTCTGTGTCCACCTGCGGGTGGTTAAATCCATGGATGTAGAACCTCGAAGAGAAAACTCTGACTGTAGTATGGTCAGATCTGTCATATGAGTGTGCAGGCAGAGAGATAATTGAAGAAGTTATTACCGCATTAAAGGAAGAGCTAATAGAAGCATGGCAGTCAGGAGGGAAAGAAGGAAGTGGGTTTAACATACAGTGAAGTGCGTATATCTGAGTCCCTCAAACATTTATTTGAGTGGTACTGAATTGAGGAAGAGCAAAAAGTCAAGGGTGACCTTTTCCCCAGAATTCATTTCTAGGTAATTAGGTACATGGTGATGCTGACGACCGAAAAGAGAGGCTGTAGGAGGAAGCACAAGTTAATAGTTAAGTTGGTTGGAGTATTATGGGAAGGTTCTGAAAAGACGGTGAGTTCTACTTTGAATGGAGGGGTATTAAGTGAAGATTTCCAATATGTAATTATGTAAGTCTAGTGCTTAGGCTTAGAGATATAAATGGGAGAGTCACTAGCATAGGATTGGGTCAGTTTTGCATTCTGGCTAGCTGTTGTTTCAGGTACTACACTAAGAATGACAGCAACAAAGATGAATAACAGATGAATAACAAATGATCCCTTTCTGGAGCCTAGCAAAGAACAAGGACACAATCATTTATTATGTCTTATTCTTCTAATATGTCAGATATGTGAGTCTTATTCATAGAAATTATTTTTTCTATATGCTAAACCCTTGTCAATGCATACTCTATTAGTTTAATTAACTCTTTTGATCATTCTTAACACCAGCAACTGCCACACTTTTTGGTTCCAAGGCTTTAAGAATAAAGTTTATTCCAGCTGGAAAAAAAATCATTTAGCTGAAATTTTCTACTTCTTACCCTATGTCCTTTATATCACACTTTGTTTAGAAGTTAGTTTCACTTCTTGAATCAAGGAAGATTTGGTAGGAAACCTATTCAAAAGAGCTCTTGCTCTTGCCCCTTTGAAATACTAACTTCCTTTGAAAAGTAAATGCATCACATGAAGACAGTTGGCTTGTGGGTATAAAATGATGGACGAAAAAGAATGTTAATGAAAAGTCTCCATATTTACCCTAACAAAGTTCAGAAATTATCTGACACCCCCCCAAAAAAGATTTTTCTGAAGTTTTGTTTAAATAAATTATAGAGATGGTGACAACATCGTGTATAAAATTATTTCATGAAAGCCAAAGTGAAAAGAATGCTCTGTAATTTTCATTCACAGTAAATGAATGGCTACCAGTCCATCCTTTGAGCAAGTGCTATAGACAAAGAATAAATCTTTAAGTTAGATAGATTAGATTCTGCTATCTTTTGAATAAAGGAAATATCAAAGAGACAGTTTTTCAGAAGTGTGTGTTGAATTGTATTCATAACATTTCTTAAAGTGGATATGTTCACATAATACACACAACTCCAATGTCCTATGATTTCTGCACAACAGAAAATGTCAAACCAAGTTATTGTAAGTTCTTCAAATGACATCTCTCTCTATTTTTTTTTCTTTTATCATTAAACAGGGAAGGCCATGGTAAAATTTCAGTATTTGCTGTCAAAATGGCTTTAGCCACGTTGTGTGGAGGGAAGATCATGGACAAGTTAAGATGTAAGTTATTCTCTGCATCTCTCTTTGCTCACCCCTTCCATATGCTGCTTTTTTCTCTACCCGCTTCCTACCAGGTTCCCCCTGACCATCCGTGACTTTCCTCATCCTATGAGAGTTATTTGAAATATGATGTTCAATGTAATGAACTAATGTACAGAGGACTGAGCTTGTCCAAGTCTAGTGACTTCTTACTGTGGCCATGGCATGTGTAGGCAGTAGATTAGCAATGTGAGCAGCAGCATCTCTTTGGTGAAGGTGTGGGTCCTACCTTAGCAGGTGTGATTGTTACTCTGGAGCACCCCAAAGGTGATCTGCATTATAATTCTATTGCCATGGGCCAATGTCTGCAGTGACTAAAGGCACATATGGAAATGACTACTCGGATTCATTTTCCAGATGAGCAAGATCTCTTTCAGCAACTGTACCTGGTTGCCTAGGGAAATGCAATTTTAATTCACAAGAGAAGGAGGATGGTCTTTAATATTATTATCCCTGCCTTTGAGCAGACTCAAGGGGCTTCAGCTTTGGAAAGAGCATAATTTGGAATCTGAACCACTTTCTTCTGGTTTTCTCTGCTGGTTCAATTGAACTGACTTATTCCTAGACATTAAGTCCCTGGAAATATTCAGGAAAAAAAAGAAAGAAAAGAAATGTAATGTTCATTGATCTTTGGGTTTTATCCTAAAAATATTTTCATCTTAGATAAATGTCAATGGAATGAATGTTCTCCTTCTAAGTATGGATTATTATTATTTACAACCTGTTAAGTATCACCAGTTAGACTGTTCATGACACCAAGGTAAAATATACATTCTCTCATGTTCATGGTACAAAACTGCCTCACAAGTTAAGTCCATCACCATAGGAGATGAAGGCCATATTAGGAAACCTTCTTTTTTCAGTCATCTCAAGCCAAAGTTCCCAGCACGTTTCCTCATTCTTCTCAGCCAGTGTTGTTCAAATCACTAGGCACTTGAACAGTTCCAAGGAAGATGTTGCCAGGGTGTAGGCAGAGGAATTACATGCAGAAACCATAGACTGCGAATGAACTGATGCCAATAGAGACATGACAGCTAAAGGGCATTGAGTGATTTGGGGCCTTTTATGTACATTTTGTCATTAAATGTGGTAGTTTTTTAACCATCAAAACAGTGGGAATTTTTTGCTTAGTTGGCATGTTTTAGGTAAAGAAGCTGAGACTTGGAGAGTTAATCACAGATGGTACCAGGAATTGAACCCTAACTTTTTTCCGTACATCGGTGGCTCTCTAAGTTTAGTATGTATGCAATCACCTGGCAGGCTTTTAAAAAATAAATTTCTGGGTCTCATTCCCAGAGTTTCTGATTCAGTAGGCCTAAAGTGAATGGGGGTTAGGGCAAGAATTTTCGTTTCTAACTAGTTTAAAATTCTGTATATGTGACTGTTTCAAAGAAAAATTACCATGTAACCTTTTCTCTTCCCCTAAGTATTTTGAGTCTGAGTTATAATGCCCTCTGAGAAAACACACTCTCTTAGGAACTGGGAGCCTCAAGTTGCAGGCCCAGCTTTGTGAATAATCCACTGAGTTATCCTGTGGAAATTGTTGCTTCTTTAGTTCTCAGCTTCCTTCTCCATCCTAAATTTGGGGATTTTGTTAGATACCAGTTGGGTATCTATCCTACTGGCTGCAATCATCTGGCACTCACAGAGCCTCTAGGCTTTTTTGTCAAGCTGTTGTATGTCAGCTGCTGAATGTAATCTCTTGCTTCTTGATGCACTGAGGAATAATAAAGACAAATACAGGAATAAAAACTTTTTTTCTTTGGCATTTCCCCAGACATACCCCAAGAAGAGTTATGTCATTAAAGCAATGGATAAGGGGACAGTACATGGAAACCCCACGTAACCACACATCTTCCCTCTCTCCCAGGAAACTTCTCTCATGGACCAGCCAAACGCTGTCAAGATTCAGAGAAGCCCAAGCAGACTCTCATAAGGCCCAGTTTAGATTACCTTCGGTTCACCTGAAAGATGTAAAAAATTAGAAAACCATCCCAGTGCTTGATTGAGGATAACCACTCAGTCAGAAAGTGGCAGAAAAAAAATCTCCTTTAAAAAAAAAAATAAAAAAAAAACTTTAAAAAAATAAAAATTTAAAAAATAACAGTGTAATCCCTAAGACATTTACTTCAGGATTAGGCTGGGAAGAGAACATTTAGCAAAAGGAACCAGGGCAGAGGAAGAAACTCACAAGGGCCTTGCCTACAGACTTCATGTCACCATTGGCCACTTATGCTGAGAACAGTAGCAAAATTTTTTTCAAAGTCTTAAGAAACACTTCCAAATACTTATTCAATCTTAGGTATGTGGACAAAAGGATCTTTTAATAAAATAAGGAATCCAAAGCCAGTGCTCTGTGACAACCTAGAGGGGTGGGATGGAGGTTCCAGAGGGAAGGGATATATATATATACCTAATGCCATTTCATGTTGATGTATGGCAAAAAAAAAATCACAGTATTGTAAAGTAATTATCCTCTAATTTAAAAAATTAAATGAAAAAATAAGTTTGAGGAAAACTAAGAAACCAGGTTTCTATATTTCAGAACTCCTAAGAGCCTCTCATGAACCAGGTTGATTCTATACCATCAAGGACCCAAATGCCTTCCATGTTTCTGCTTGGCTTTCCTCTGTGTCAGATGTTATCCTTCTTCGGAGGGTAAAGCAGGGTACAACAGTTTCAGGAGTCACACCCACTCCAGAGGTCCCTGGCGCTTAAGTCTCATGGCCAGGGTGGCATCACAGACCACTTACTATATCAATTCCTAGAGAGGGGAAAGCAATGCCCATGATAGTCATGGAGTCTTCCAGTCGTTCTGATCTCCTGGGCTGAGAAGGGTCTCTGCTGTCTCTTAGCCCAGGAAGAAATCTGGGGCCAATAAAGATGAAGGGAAAGGTTGTTACATCAGCAACAAACAACATTGGCACAATTACAAAACTCAGACGTTAACTAACTGTTTGAGCAGATATTTGCCGGTCGTTGAATCCCACAAAATTCTCTTGAAAGTCCAGGAATTCAAAACAAACAATATATTAATAACTGCTCCAGGGCTGTTTCCTCACTCTACCCCATCATTCACCAGATACCTACGGTCAGTGAGCAAAGCATGCATGCTCTCCCGTGGCCAAAGCCAATCCTCTGCAGCTTCGTGAAAGAAGTCACAGATGCATGAGTCCCGTTGGAAGAAAGCTGTGCTCTCCAGTCTGCAAGAATAAGCTGCAGGGACATCTCTTGTAGTCCAGTGGCTAAGACTTAACTTCCAATGCAGGGGGTGTGAGCTCCGTCTCTGGTCAGAGAGCTAAGATCCCACATGCCCCCAGGACAAAAAACCAGAACATAAGCAGCAGAAGCAACATTGTAACAAATCCAATAAAGTCTTATAAAAATGGTCCCAATCAAAAAGAAAAAATGAAAGAAAGAAGCTGCAGAGTGTCACAAATTCTGTAGAAAAACAGATTGTGTGATCACAACATATCACGTTGCCTTCCCCCCAGACCTGAATCACTGAGTGTGGTGTCCCTGTTCTCTGACTGAGGAGTCACTCTTTGAATAGTTAATCCCATGAAGGTAGTTTTAATGGTTCCCAGCTAAGTCAGTTGAAAGCAATTTGACCAAAAGCAATTTAGCTAAAAGCAGTTTGGCTGGTAGAACCTCTCCAAAATTTGTATTAATAAAAAGTGAATGTCCTTAGTCACCTTAGATAACCATTGACTGAATGAGGAAATATGGGCAATTCCACCCACAGACAGCCATGGCTGACTTGGTGAGCAGAATCAAGGATTTTCTTTAGTCTCCTTTTGCTGGCTTCCATTTAGTCATAAAACAGGCAGGGTAATAATGTAATAAGCATTGCTTTATATAATAAGAAAATAAAATGAAAGGATATGGAATGTCTCAGAATTTGAGAGATTTATTTTTCCTTCTTTAAATTCTAATTCCCTTTAAGCCAGTATGACAACTGTGCTAGTCGGGCAGTTTTTCTGTTTTTGTCCACAGGGATGAGAAAGATTTAGTCCATGCCAACTAGCCCCTTCATTTGGGGAACACGGGGCAAGAGTAATTGGCTGAAAATAATTTAGAAATTTTAAAAAGCAAAAAAGCAGAAAACAGCAGAAAATTTGAAGCTGAGTTTTAAATGTTGCTTTAAATGCATTAAAAGGGACAAGAACCCCCCACGTTGTACCCCAGTTTCCAATACTCAGGGCCACCAGGAGCCAATATACAGGGTGTTCTTCAGGTACCCTCAGGCGGCAGAGCGTGTGAGGGCGCCCCCTGCAGGCGTGGGACACAGAGCCCTATACATAAACTGACCTAATGTAATATACTCCTTTTCTGTCAAAATATCTTTGATCTGATTATCGCTGTTAAGGATCTTAAAGATTTCTTAATCCAGTGGCATGAGCCTGGAATGTCAGGTGCTGTTCTAAAGCTTCTAAAGAGGACTTGTTTTATTTAAAAACTATCATTATGGCAAACACCTTGTATTTCCTGAGTTTCTATTAATAAATAGGTTGTTCTGCCTCCAAGCCTATCCCCAGGGTAATATTTCTAACCCATTGGGCTGCCTTTAATTCTTCAGGATCTTTCTCATCACTCATTGTCCTGTACACTTGGCCTGCAAGTCCCCTTGGTAAGGAAATCTTCCCTGCCTCCCTCCTCCCTCTGGGAACCCCGTCTCTGAGCTCCTGTCACACCCGTACACCCCACTGTTCCTCTGCTCACACCACCTTGTTACCACGTGTGATGTCGCTTCACCCATGATGTAAGCACGTCTCTGTCATCCCCATTAGACCAGGACCTCCCAGGGGCAAGAGCTAAGTCCTGATTTCCCTGTGTATCCATGGCTTAGCACAATTTCACATGTTTATTATGTGCCAAGTTAATTTTAGTTTAATAAATCCACGAATGTAAGTTCTTCTAAAGTAACATTGTGTGGAGCTGTAGGAAACACACAGGTAATTTAAAATATGATTTGGAACCTTATAGAACAATCCTAGTGGGGAGGCAGCATCTAAACATACAAGGTGAGTGGCAGAAAAGTGTGATATGAAATCAATAAGAAAAAGATATAACATTTCTGTACTGTATACTAGGTGCCAAGCATACACAGTTGCTTTTCATCTAGTAACTGGTTTAATCCTTGAAATAGCCCTCTATATTGTATAGATATATGTATATTTCATGTCATAAGCATATTATATGTATCTGCATACATATGTACACATATATGGAGAGAGACACAGAGGTCTCCAAATTAAGGTACAAACACATACCATATTGTGCCCCCTCATTTCTTTTTAAAAACCTGACTGGCCATTAACAGCCACTTCACTTTAGTCCCAGTGAATAGCCCTAGTTTGGCTATTACTTAGTAGAATTTCTTCAGTACAAATGAGTTTAATATTAGCTTCACATTTGTGAAAGGTCACTGTTGGTGCCCTTCAAGTTTTACTGTAGTTAGAGATGTTTAAATTATTTCAGTGTGGATTTGAAAAGCCTAACCTCCTTTTAAAAAATGTGCCCCTGCTCACTGCAGCTAGAGAAAAGCCCACACAGCAACAAAGACCTAGCACAGCCAGAAATTAAATATTTTAAAAAAAAATGTGCCCTGGCCTAGAAATTCCAGGTCTAGAAGATCATCAGGATGACAAGGTTATAATTAGCCAAATTGTCCCCAAATAAACAAGACGGCAGTTCTAATATGAAAGTACATTTACTTCTTCAAGGCTTCTTTTTCCTCCTTTGGATTGGAATTCTTGAGTTTCTATCTTTGCAATTACATAAGAGGGTTTTGGTTTTGTTTTGTTACTTTTTTTTTTCTGTTGGCAACTTCTTTTTTGGGCTAGTTATAATGAAGCATGAGATGAAATTCACTATAACAACATTGTGAAAATGAGTGAGAACATCATTAATTTTTGTTGCTCATGTAGAATATCTGTAGCTTTATAACTGATTAACTATTGGAAACACAATAGAAATCATTTGTAAGTGGAGTATTTTTTAAAAAAGAGAGCCAGTTCACGTCCTCAAAACATAATCCAATAAAAGCCTGTAATATGCTGAACATCTGACTGGGGTGTGAAACAATGTCCCCAGATTACATTTTGACCTTGAAAAATTAAGTCCAAAATGAGCAGAGGTAGCATGTTGACTTTATAACAGTTTATCCCAGCAGCTGTGCTGGCCTCGTCGCAATCCAGCACGGCGACACACCATATAATAGCCAACCCTTTTCTTCCAATAGTGATTTCCACAGAGGGATTACAGAGTACTTTGGGAAATTATGCCATGAATATTCATTAAGTGCACTTAGTGGCAAAAACTGAAGAAAAGAGGTCCAATAAAGCTAGTGGCTCTGCGGAGAAGAATCTGGATCCCTGACTACCTCACTGAACATCGGCAAGGCCAGGCTTCCTCTTGACTGCATGAGCCTGAAGACCCTTCCCTGTAAATCAATTGCCTTCCAGCCAGAACACTGTGATTTATAGGAAGTTTTCTACTTCTGTGAGAAGTTAATCAAGTGTTTTCATTGCATCCTTATCCCTATATGTCTTTCATTTTTCCATATCTTAAACCAAAACCCAGAAGTTTTGGTGACACTATGACAGTCTCCTCTGTCCATGGGATCCTCCAGGCAATAATACCGGAGTGGGCTGCCGTTCAGCATTACTGTCTGGAGAATCCCATGGACAGAGGAGACTAATGGGCTACAGTCCACGGGGTTGCAAACAGCTGGACACGACTAAGCAAACTAACACTTTCATAGACAGGTAAATAGCTACCTTGCTACATATGCACAAACCCTCACATTATAGTAAAATTTTCATTGTGTATTTCAAAAGAAGTCAGCATATTTCTCACACACACAAAATTCCTCCCATTGAGTATGTGTATGAGTTGATAATTGACCTCAAACTAAAAATGAGATGTTCTCTGTCCTATCAAAATATGCTAATTTTATCCAAATTGCTAGTTAATGCTATGTGCCAAAATCATCTACAAAAAGATACCAGAGAAAACACCATGCCAAGAATAGCTCAGCGTAAAAATTAGCTTTTGTATTATTCTTTCATAATAAATTCTATGTTTAATTTCTGCCACATTTTTTGTTATCTGCAGTAGATATGTTGAGCTAAAACAGTGGGAAATCTTTATGTGATGAATAAATATCTTTCCTTTTCCATCCATCAGATATTTTCTCAATGATTTCTGACTCCAGCGGGGTGATGGTTTATGGACGATACGATCAGTTCCTACGGGAAGTTCTCAAGCTACCCACGGCAGTTTTCGAAGGTCCTTCATTCGGTTACACAGAACAGTCAGCGAGATCCTGTTTCTCTCAACAGGTAGCAATCAACTTGTTTAAGGGAGTATCTCTCAGCGGGTGCTGTCTCGTGTGTCACTCCAAGTCTCTATTTCTTCATCATAACCTGTAGTGTGTCTTCCAGCTTCTGACAAATGACTTCTGAGTCAGTAACTGAGTGCATTGCAGCACATCTGGGTAATAATAGGTGGTGCTTCCTGACCTTGAGCCAGCATCAGGCAGAATTCTTTATTTGCACTGTCTAATTTAATCTCTACTAACAACCCTATGGCACCCCACTCCAGTACTCTTGCCTGGAAAATCCCGTGGACGGAGGGGCCTGGTAGGCTGCAGTCCATGGGGTCGCTGAGTCGGATACAACTGAGCAACTTCACTTTCACTTTTCACTTTCATGCATTGGAGAAGGCAATGGCAACCCACTCCAGTGTTCTTGCCTGGAGAATCCCAGGGACGGGGGAGCCTTGGGCTGCTGTCTATGGGGTTGCACAGAGTCAGACATGACTGAAGTGACTTAGCAGCAACAACCCTATGAGCTTCCTTTGTGGCTCAGCAGTAAAGAACCGGCCTGCCAGTGCAGGAGACATGGGTTCAATCCCTGGGTCAGCAAGATCCCTTGGAGAGGGAAATGGCAACCCACTCCAGTATTCTTGCCTGGGAAATCCCATGGACTTCTAGAAGAGCCTAGTGGGCTACAGTCCATGGGGTCGCAGAGTCAGGCACAGTGTAGCGACTAAACAACAACAACCCTAACCCTCCGAATCATTTGTTATGACCACGTTATCTAAAGTGCTGAATTGTCACTCAGCCTCACATAAAACCCAAGACTGACCCAGCACTAAGTTTCATCAGTGTTTAGCAAAGGAGACAAAAAGGAATCTCAGCACATGCCCTGTGGGATCTGGGAGGCCCTCAATCATCCACCAAGTTGGGGTTCAGAGCCACATGTCTTAACTGGGCATGGAGCAAGTCAGCTGAAGGAAGCTGCGTAGTTTGGAGGGCTACCCATGTCTATGTCTGTCCATTCTTGTAGAAAATCTACATGTCTAGAACTATTCTCCAGCACGCATGGTAGAAGTTTAGAAACCAATAAACTGAAGGTTTGTTTACAATTTTTAAAAATCCAGACTCACCAAGTATGTGACATACTTGGCCCTTTACATAAGCAAACAGTGCCTAGCAGCCACTAAACAGCGGCATTTACTGTCCAGCTAGAAAACCTCAGCTCTCTTTACTTGATGATCTAAGAGGTCAGAAATGCCTCAGGCACCCCTGTAGGTCAAGGATGTTTATAGAGTCATCAGTGTATCCATACACTCAAGAAGAGAAGGGATAGTTTGATACGCTAAGTATCAACTCTACTGCCCGAGAACCTCACTCAAGAAGCCTTGCTGACCTTTCCCATGCCCCCACCCCCAGGCTGGCATAGCTACCCGATCTCTGTCCCCAACTAAGCATGCTCCTCTGTATTTCCCTTTCAAGCTGGTGACATCAGAATGGATCCATTCACCTATACAGCTTCTTCACGCAGAACGTCTCATTGATCGCCAAGTCCTGCTAGTTTCACCTCTAATTGTCTCAGGTCTCTTTCCTCATCATCCTTGATTGCCTGGCCTCTTGCATTAAACCCCAGGCTAAACTCTCCTTCCCTGGATTTACTTGTTTGTTTGTACATTTGTTGATTTTAGCACATTATAGAAGCCTCAGGAAATATGCTAATGCCTTGGAGTATTTATTTCTCATTAAAGTCAGCCACAATAATAGGACTTTTTAAATCTAATAGGATTTTATATATTCAAGAAGAATTATATAGGTGTTGCCATTGATCAAAGTGAAATATCCTAGATATTTTTCATTATATAATCTTTTACACACCCTCAATGATGAGAAATTTTTATATGTTGAAATCATAGTGTCTTTGTTTTACTTCCAGGAGTGATTTTAAGCCAATACAATGAAAGGTCAAAATGGATAAAACCATGTGAAGTAGAAATAGAGGCAACATAAATAAATAATAAGACCAGTTTGTTTTTGTGCTTCATAAGCTGGCTATAGCAGCAGCTTGAATGATGAAATTCCAAAATTGTTTTAATTGCTTCGTTGGAAAGTCACCCCAAGTGATTGTTTTAAAACACAGTATTATTTTAGACATATGAATTGTAGTAGCTTTTTAAAAAGTATGGTCTCATTACTTATTCTTTATATCATTTCTCTTTTAATAATAATGCTAGGGATGTTCCTGGAGGTCCAGTGGTTGAGATTTCACCTCCCACTGCATGGTGTGCGGGTTTGATCCCTGGTCGGGAGCTAAGATCACACATGCCTTGTGGCCAAAAAACCAAAACATGAAACAGAAGCAATATTGTAACAAATTCAATAAAGCCTTTAAAAAACTAAAATTATTAACAATAATAATGTGAACAGCCATCCTGTAAAAGCTTAAGTTATTTAGTATGATGAGGTGTGTGTATGCGTAGTTGCTCAGTCATGTCCGACTCTTTGCAACCCTTTGAACTGGAGCCCACCAGGCTCCTCTGTCCATGGGATTCTCGGGGTTGCCACATCCTCCTCCAGGGAATGTTCCCGACCCAGTGATGGAACCCACATTTCCTGTGTCTCCTGCATTGCAGGAGGATTCTTTACTCACTGAGCTATCAGTGAAGCCCAGTATTATGAGGTAAATAACTAAATATATCTACCAATAAAAAAAATTAATGAAAGGATACCAAAACAGCTATTTTGTAAATTACAAGGACAAGTGTAAGATTTAAGCCTTGAAAAGTTACTATAGCTCTTCAGGGCTGATTTCTTATCTAAAAAATATAAAGCTATCCCAGCTACCTTGCTATTCTAATTCAGATTTTTAAGTAAACTAGTGATTTTGCTTGTAAATTTTTTGTCACTCATACTACTGAAATCTCATGTATTAGCAGAACTTCTCTGGAGAAGGAAATGGCAACCCACTCCAGTATTCTTGCCTGGAGAATCCCAGGGACAGAGGAGCCTGGCAGGGAACAGTCCGTGCGGTTGCAAAGAGCCGGACACGACTGAGCAACTGAACCACAACAAGTTTTACAAAGCTGTTTGTCCCTGGACTCCAAAGCAACTTTCCCTGCCAGAAGTCCTGAAACATCCTGTGAAATTTAGTGATTCTAGACCGGAAGCAATCAAGGAGTCTTTTTTTTTTTTGCCCTCCCCATCCCCACAAAATAGAAGTTCTTTTGTCATTTTGAAAGAAACCTATAGATAAAATACATTTGTTTTCTACATCAGAAAAGTCCAAGATAATGACCCAGAGGCTGACTGAATTGTGATGAAATATATATAAAAAGAAAGGAGAGAAGAGATTTTTTTTTTTTTTCCTTCAGACTCTTCTAACAGGGAGGGAAAGATCCCTCCAGACAGGATTCACTCCTCATCTTGTATAGCAGAACCATTCACACGACCACAAAATACTTGGTTTTTATGGAAGTTGAAGCTGTTCTACACAGTTAGAAGACTGACTGATTTGGGAATTTTAGAGCCTGCTATGATGTATTATTGGGTAAAATTTTATGGAGGATGCCTACTCTCCAGTTTTGCTCATCATTTGCAACCTGTCCCTTGTGTATGAAAAATGACCCTCTCAGAACTGTTTTCCTCCTAGTGATAATATTGACTCAGCCTCAGTAGAGATAATCCAGTCCTGTGTAGGCTCAAGTGTGAAAAGCAATTAATGTTTTAAATTCAGAACTAGTTTCAAGCTCTGTCTTTTTTTGTGTACGAGGGGTTAATTGAATGTCTTGTTTCTTCCATCTCAAATGATATTTACATAGCAGGTAAGTTAAGATTATTCTTGGTTCTAAATTTTTGTGGGGTTTTTTTGATGCAGAAAAAAGTCACCTTAAATAGTTTCTTGGACACGCTCATGTCAGATCCTCCCCCTCAGTGCCTGGTCTGGCTGCCCCTTCTGCATCGACTGGCAAATGTAGAAAACGGTGAGTACTTAATACTGAGCTAAGGCAATTTGTTTAACCCTTCTTTTAACTTGAAGTAACATAATTGATTTACAATGTTGTGTTAGTTTCATATGTATAGCAAAGTGATTCAGGTGTATATACATATATATGTGTGTGTGTGTGTGTGTGTGTGTGTATTGTTTTCATATTCTTTTCCCTTGTAGATTGTTACAAAATGTTGGGTATGCTTCCCTGTGCTATATGTAGGCCCATGTCGATTATCTGTTTTATATATAGGAGTGTACATATGTTAATCCCAAAGTCCTAAGGCAATTATTGAAATTAGGCTATCAAGTCTATAGTTATCAAGCCAACATCATTGTTTTAGGAGGTCTGTTTAGTAGTTCCGATTTTTAATAGAACTGACCTCTCTCCCTGATCAGTAAAGCCCTATCAGCACACTACAAAATTAGGATGGTCCATTCTAAAAACTTATTAAATATCACAATCTACCTCCCAGTTACAAGTAAGATGTGGCTTTAAAACTTACTATAACTGAAGAAGAACCTCACTAAGGAATGTGACATTTTCTAGTATTTGTTTTAGGTATGAACTTCCACTGTTGGCATACCTAGCATTGACTCTTTCTTCCTAAGCACTTGAACATGAATAGGTGGAGGAGATGGGGGAAAATACTGGATGGTAGCACCTTGCTAATCTTTAGTCATGTACTCCAAATTGTAAGCTCCCAATGGCTGTAGTTACGTAAAAGAAATGAGTAATGTAACTTTTGTCATGTACTTTTATTTTATAAAACCAAGTAGTTCTATGATAAAAGTAATTACTATTGGCATATCCAAATTTCAATATGAAATACAGTTCAGAACAAGGTTTAAAGAAATTTAAACAGGGAACAATTCAATGCCTCCATCTGCTCTTTAGATATTCTTATTTATTGTTTAATTTAACTCTGGGAATTCTCCAGCCTTAAATAGAAAATAATTTATCCCCTATCTCTTACTAGAATCTTCTACATGTTTCTTTAATATACATTGGGGTTAAAGTTAGCTTAATTTTAAATTCCCATTTAGAACACTTGGTGTTTGCGCTTATTATCTCTCTTAAAGTTATAAATTTATTCTGTTTTGCTCATGGAAAAGATTTAAAGAAAGATCTCACTAGATTCTCTGTAATCACTACCAATCATTGTTTTTTTTTATGCTTCATATTCATCTGCTAAAGCAGTCAAGATCCAAATCATGTGGGGTGAATTCATATTACTGTTTGCAATCTGAGAACTAGCCATTCTCCAATTATAAAGTTGTAATTTCATGCCTCCTCTCAGTATTTCCTGTTGCAGGAAAGGAGTTCTTTAGACCATGTCCCAGAAGAGTTGCCCCTAGATTCAGGTCTTTCCCAAGAGCCAGAAAAGGAGGATATAATACTAGTTCAGAAGACAGTGTGTTCAAAATTTGGTTATGTCTTTGTTTCTACAATTTACTTTTCATTTTTATTTATTTATTTTTTTCATTGTTTTCCCTAGCTGGTTAGCCAGAGAGTAACTTCGCCAAAGGCAAGAATTGTTCTTGTTGCTGTTAGTATCTTTAACTCATAACATGCAATTACTTGGATCTGATCATTTGTTAGCTTCGAATTGCATACCTTGCCTGCTTTGTAACTCAAATTTCCTGCCAGAAAGTGTCTCTTGAACTATCTGAATTAGAACTGTATTCAGATAATTTGTCCATCTCTTTTGGCCCCTATTGATCTGCCCCTCAGAAAATTTTTTAAAAATCTGTTTATTAAATGAAGACAATGTCAGTCATTAAATAAGCCCATTAGCTACTCTATTTTTAAAAAATAACTGAGTATTCTCATCTTCCAGTTTTTCTACTCTCCTCCCATTTCCTTTCTTTTTTCTTCCTCTTGTTTTCCATTTCTATTTGCTCTCTACCCAGAACCCATCTGTGTTCATCTATTGTGCTTCTGAGTTTTCAGTGAGCTGTGCCGGTCTCCTGGAGACAGAGAGCATCTGGGGGGAAAGGCAAGCCAGTTTGGGTAATTTACATTCTTGTAGGGTAAGGGATGGGAGTAAGAAGAGTAAACAGTATTACAGAGATGTGCTGTTAAACGAACCCCTCTCCTCCAGCCCACTTTATTTCTCCCACCCCCACACACATGCCGGAAAAGGGTCGTGAGAGTCTAGGAATAAACTTAGTACTTCTCTCAGACCAAACTATCATCGGAAATCATATTATCCAGCAGAAAAATGCAATTCTTCTTGGGCTGTATTTTTCGTTCTTCTCACTCATCCTCTTGTTTCCTTGTCTTTTTCTTCATTTACTTGCCCGCCAGTCTTCCACCCGGTCGAGTGTTCGTATTGCCACAGTGAGAGTATGTTGGGCTTTCGCTATCGATGCCAACAGTGTCACAATTACCAGCTCTGTCAAGACTGCTTCTGGAGGGGACATGCTGGTGGTTCCCATAGCAACCAGCACCAAATGAAAGAGTACACGTCCTGGGTAAGTTGGATGTGTGAGTGTCGTCCAGAACACAAGGGAACAGCCAGAGAACCAGGGGGCACGCTTACCTTCTACTCTCACACTCCTTCCTTCCCTGCCCACTGCTCCTCTTACGGGGTTACTTGTTGAGTCTGAACCCAGTATAGCTTCCTAAGACAACATATAAGAACACTCCAATGATATTACTTCTTGGAATGCAGATAATTCAATATTGATTTAGGTGACAGCCTTCTGGAGCATAATCTCCTTTTCACAGTAAGTGAAGGTTCCTTCCAATTTGGGGCGGGGTCGTGGGCATTGCCTAAAAATTATTGTTAGTTCCTTTTTTCTTAGAGTCTGGAGTTCTTTAAGGGCATGACTGGAATGTGAAGGAAAGACATGAGAGCATGTGGGTTTAATGATGCTGTATCAGTTTATTTTGGGGGGAAGGAGGGGAAGATTGTGGTTATATTAGAAAATCGTCTTTTCATGAATAGTGCATGTGACTAGCTTGCTGGAGTGGGTATGTGATACTAACCTGTCCTTGTGATGAAAGTGTTCTGACACTTAGCATGATAATCTCCAGGTTCATCCATGTTGCTGCAAATGGCACTTTGTTCTTTTTTTATGGCTGAGTACTAAGAATGTACATTTTAAATCAGAATGTTCTTTCGAGGAATCATTATTAGGAACTGATATTTAGTGCAAATATATTAATTGTTTAGCACATGTCGAAGTCTGAGTTCAGATAAGAATTCTTCACTAAGGCATTGTATACTGAGGATTTATTCCAGTTCAAATGCCACCTGTTACTGTTGGCTACATCACATGCTGAGAACTGATAGGCTAGCGCAGATCACGAAATACAATTTAGTATATAGAAGGTAGGAGAAAGTTTTCTTATTGTCAGCACATTAGCAGTTTTCAAATGTTGTTGTTGTTTAGTCAACTACTCTTGTGATCCCCTGGACTGTAGCCCGCCAGGCTCCTCTGTCCAGGCAAGAACACTGGAGTGGGTTGCCATTTCCTTCTCCAGGGGATCTTCCCAGACCAGAGATCGAACCCGCATCTCCTGCACTGCAGGCAGATTCTTCACCACTGAGCCGCCTTTGAGAGCCAGTGTGTTCTATCTCAAATCCTCGAGGGCTGGTGTTTGAAGACTCACCATTTTTTAATTGTTGTTTTGTGTAAACACTGAAGTTAAATCAAGAGGCTTTTCCTTAGAAGTTCTGGACTCTGCAGTTATACGATAGGACAGTGTCTTTACAGAGTAGAGCAGAACTCCTCGCGAGGACAAAGGGGCTCCAGTGTTTATGGGGGGAAGAGCTGTTGCTACTGCTGATCCAAGTGTTCTAAGAATTCCGTCTCCTAGCCAAAGTCAAAGAGGGATTTTGTGGACAGTGCTCCCGTGACTTAGCTTTTAAATAATGAGGACGAGGGTCACTTCCTTATATTGCCAGTTGTGCACTCTGAATGTCAAAGAAAGTGACAAAATTATAAATCTCTTCTCACTGAAAGGAAAAATTGGCACAAAGATTTATTATATGTGGTGGGCTATTTTTGATCATCTTGGCTGTGAAATATTAAACATTCCACAGGGCTAAATGAAAAAGAGATAGCATGTCCTCTGGAAAGAACATGAACTTTAAATTCTGGAGACCCAGGCTGAAGTTCTGCTCTTCCTTCTAACTGGATGTATCCAGCCTCACCTGAAAATCTTGCTTCTAGATTCCTGCAAAACCTCCCGCTCCTCTCCTGCCTTCCAGTCCCATCCCTCTCAAACCATTTTTTGTTCTTAAGGAGAAGCAGTCCTTCTAGAATCAGGTCATCTCTGAGATTGAAGCTGTTCATTGCCTCCCTCCTCACCTGAGATAAAGACCACAGTAGAAAGGACTGTGTAGTATAAAGGACTTCAATGGTCTGCCTCCTGCTTTCCCTCTCCAGAACTAGGTCTCCTGGCCCTCCTGCATCTGGATACCTTCCAGTCCCCTGAATTTGGTCAGAAGGACTCCTGCTGTTCATTAAACCCCGACTCGGATGTTCTGACCCCAGTGACTGCTTCCATTTCTCACAGCATTTGCTGACAGTGTGCAGCCAGCGGCGGGTATCCTGGTGGCTAATTCCAAGCATTCTGGTCCCCGCAATGAGCCAACTCCTTGACTTGGAGTAAATTCTCAAAGAAGAGTCCGTGAATGAATAAATGAATATATATCATGGAAGGGCTTCCAGGTGGCACTAGTGGTAAAGATTACCCGCCTGCCAGGGCAAGAGATGTAAGAGACTTGGGTTTGATCCCTGGGTTGGGAAGATCCCCTGGAGGAGGTCATGGCAACCTACTCCAGTATTCCTGCCTAGAGATTCCCAAGGACAGAGGAGCCTGGTGGGCTAGAGTCCATGGGGTCACAAAGAGTCAGACAGAACTAAAGTGGCTTAGCACACAGCATAGTATGAAAGCAAATCATCTGATAAAATGTTACATAAGTGTTGATTGTTAACACTTGAACCTTTGTTCTTCCTTCCAGAAATCACCTGCTAAGAAGCTAACCAATGCATTAAGCAAGTCTCTGAGCTGTGCTTCCAGCCGTGAGCCCTTGCACCCCATGTTCCCTGACCAGCCTGAGAAACCACTCAACTTGGCCCATATCGTGTGAGTATCTGCCCTCTACACTGAGAGACAGCTCTTCATTGACACGTGTGCAGATCCATACAAAGACAATTTCCTATCAGTTGTCAGGGACCGAGTTTTAAATTTTATTTTCTTAAAGAAAGAATGAAAGTCAGGTGATTATATATATATATTCTTTTTTTTCATGGAGGGGTATACAATACTTCTGCCCAGAAGTACAAGAATGCAGCACCATATAATTCACCTCAAAGTGGAAAATATTCAAAAATTTTACAGTTACACAGATGTTAGTGGAGTTTACACAGCTGGCCAATAGTAAAGCAGCTGTACCTTAACATTATGTGTGCTTTGAGTCCCTAATCCAGAAGCCCACTGTCTCCTTTCTCTGCAGAGCCAGTTATCTTAAAGATGCCAGGAAACATGGAAATTATTGCTGTGGTTATTGTTTTCCTCCAAGTTACACAGCTTTAGAAGAATCATGGCCTGTGCAGGGGAGGGTTGAAGAGGAGGGATTGTTGGGGAAATTCAACAGACGATCCAAAAACGGACTTAAAAAAATTTCTCTAAAGCGTGTGTGAGTTTGAGTGGCAGAGAGAATAGGGTCAAGGAATGGTGCTACCACTCACATCTTCCCAAAAGCCCCTCCCCCTCGGGCCCTCTCTCAGGCCTGGGTGGCTCAGAAAACAGAAGGTTCAGGCAGAAGAAAGTATTTCTTCCTTGGTGATATCTTGGGCTCAGAAGAAGAAAGAAGTTCATTAGCTATTTTAGGGCTACAGTTAGGAATTGTGTAGTGGGATTGTGTAGTCACAGCGGCCTCAGGAACCCTCTGGAACAGGCGGTTCCTCTCCTGAACTGAATTTTGTTTTGTGCAGTTCAGCACAACCTCTTGTACCATCGAGAGGTGGGCTGAGGAGACCTCTGAATGTTAGGAATCCACCAAGACGAGGTCATTGCTTCAGGTGACTGAGAGCATGACCCCTTAGAGGCATTGTGGTGGAACGCAGAGCCTTAGGAAGGCAGTAACTCTTTCCCCGATGGACCTAAACAGATCCTAACAAACAACTGTGCTGAGCATGTCTGCGGAATTTGTATAAATCCCATGGGCTTTGTTTGGTTTACTTCTGTGTGCACGCTGAGGATTCGTTGTCCCCAGCAATCCGCACAGTCTGGAAGCATCCAAAACCTAACGTAAACTGATTCTGTAGAATGTGGTTGACTTATTTTGGGAAATTTTGCTCCTAAAATAGGCCTTAAAGTAAACCAGGGGTAGAAAGATCTGGGTTGTTCCCAAAGGAACAACCACTTGCAGAAAGTGATCTCATGCAAGCTGTTCTAAAGTCTTAACTTAATTCCCCATAGCCAGGGACAGTCACTTAGCTCTCCATGAATGAACAAAAACTGAGAGTAGGTTTGGGCTGTCTGATCTGGCCACAGAGTCACTTGCTACCAGCCCTCCTTGGGGTTGCCCTCCAAGAGAGCAGCATTCAATCCGAGCTGATGGGTGTGGGGTAGATAGTTAGAGGGTAGACAGGGTGGACAGCCTGGCTCCAAGAGCTCTGCAGCAGATGGAATTAGGGTGAGGCCTCCCACCTGGAGACAGAATTAAGAAATGAGGCCACGTGTGTAAGTAAAGCCAGCCTCACGTCAGTCACACTGGGCTCTGTGCCCAGTCCGCGCTCAAGATTGAGGGTGTGTGTGGGTGTGTGGGTGTGAGATTTAGTTGACCAATGAGTAAAAATGTTTTAACTTTCATTTATATTGGCAATGTGATCTGATATGTTATTCACTGAACTGAGGGCATCAGCTACACAATTTGGATTCCATGGAGAGTTTCAGGATTCCCCTAAAATTCTACATGAAATGTGCCTTCTTCTGCTAAAAGTCCCTTCTATTTAATCAGATCATTAAAATAGTCCTTGAATCCAAACACAGATCTGTACTCATTGATAATGTTTCCGTGATGAATGTCAATTTTAAAGGACAAAGTACGATGCCTTGTAATACAGTAATTAGTGCATCAGACTAATAAAAGACAAATTATATGAAATATTTAATTGTTGAAATAACACACAAGAAATTCCAGATGTACAATATCCAATTGATATTAGAACAGATTTGTTTGTATTATTTTAGCTTTAGACACTTTTATAATTATTATTCCCCAGATGTTATTTCCCTGAATAGATATTCATCTTCTTTTTTATATGGATGGGGATATCTAAGACTTCTAATCTGAAAACATACTGTTCATTTAGCTATTCTAAATCATCATAGGCATGTAAAAGCCACTTATGTGGTGACATTTTGGTGTTTTGACATTTGTTCTTGGCTATTGTATTGCTTGAAAATGTTATCATGATTAACTGTCTCTATTCTATTCAATTCTTTTGCTGCCAAAAGAGATACTTGGTAAGTAGTTCAATAATCTTCAGTGAGCTTATAAAGACTTATAAGTGGTTATGAGACACAAAACAGTGAGAGACAGGAGGCTAGTTTAAAACTAATTCTGCCTTTAAGCTGAGCACTTTCATTTTATGAAAAGAATGCCAATTATATAAAAATGTCCTTTGCAAACATCTTGTCCAGAAAGAAAACTTTGCACTAGGCCTCTGTGACATTTTCTGGAGCTATTTCTTTTTCAAAAGACTAAACGTATTTAAAATTCTTAATTGTGACCTATTTGTTAGGTAAAGTAACTTGCCATGTAATTGTAGAGGAAATATGTCCCTTTGAAAACTGCTATTTGGTGCCAAGGTTAGCCCCAGTGTCCCAGGTTCAACATTTTCATGATGAACCTTACACATGAGGCCATTTACTTGTTGTTGTTGTTCAGTTATTAAGTCGTGTCTGACTCTTTGCGACCCCATGGACTGCAGCACACCAGGTTCCTCTGTGCTCCACTATCTCCCAGAGTTTACTCAAATTCTTGTCCATTGGGTTGGTGATGCCATCCAACCATCTCATCCTCTGTCGTCCCCTTCTCCTCCTGCCCTCAGTCTTTCCCAGCATCAGGGTCTTTTCTAGTGAGTCAGCTCTTCCCACCAGGTGGCCAGAGTATTGGAGCTTCAGCTTCAGCATCTGTCCTTCCACTGAATATTCAGGGTTGATTTCCTTTAGAGCTGACTGTCTGATCCCCTTGCTGTCCAAGAGACTCTCAAGAGTCTTCTCCAGCACCACAATTTGAAAGCATCAGTTCTTCAACTCGAGGCCTTCTTTATGGTCCAACTCTCACATCCAGAAATGACTACTAGAAAAACCATAGCTTTGATGATATAGGCCTCTGTCGGCAAAGTGATGTTTCTGCTTTCTAATGCTCTCTCTAGGTTTGTCATACACAGTGTATTAAAGAGCAAAGAATAAGGAACTGCAAATTCAGCCTTGTGGTGACCAGGTTCAATAGAGTAAATGTGCCAGGCTACTTAAAAAGCATTCCATATCCTCTTGTTTTCTCATTTCCTAGAGAGAAAACAAGATGGAGATACTTATAAAGAGGCAAAAGAAAATCAGAAATGTCAAGCTGATTTTTTTCCACTGTTTTCAAAGTTAAAATGAAAATATTTCATTCTGCTTAGTGTTTTAAAATCTGATATAACCTAACCTTTCAAAATTCACAGAGCACATTTGTTTGAAATTAACATCCTTCTTATAAAGTGAAAGTGTACTGCTCAAAGCAGAATTAGCTTTAAACTAGTCTCAGGTATCAGACATATCCTAGATAAGTAGTATAAAGCACTAGGTTTTCAGAATTTTTGCTAATATGTTTGAGTAGATTAAATAGTAATCCTGCTATTTTGACCTCACCGAACATAGAATGTGTCTTTAAAAAAATTCAAGAACACAGTTTAGCACCAGGTACTGGAAACCTAAAGTTTCAATGAATTTTTGCATTTTGTGCTGACATTTTAAAACCTTCCATGTCTCATGTCCATTCTCATAAATACACTGGGACAAGCATGTCTCCTTTTTTCCTAGAAATCTCTTCATTATAGAATCCAAACTAATTTCTGTTTTCTAAGATAAAAATTAAACCTTCACAAATTTGACTCTTGATCGAGTCAACACAAATAGATTCTATATGCTACTGTATTCATGTTTCATCTTTAAAAAAATTCTGTACTGTCAAACTCACATGTAGCATTATAATGAAACCAAAATTTCCTGACTCAGAACACCATCCTGCCCTGTCACCCAGCTTCTGAACTCTGAATCCACTCTCATTGTACCATGGAACACCTGAATCTAAAATGAGACTAAAAACTGCTTAGAGATGAGGCAGGGATCTTAGCTCTATCATTTTACCTGAACTAAGACTTCACTGATAGGGAAAGAATAACAAGGTGAGGTACAAATTAAGACGGGATGACAGACATGATGCAGTTGATATTTAGGCTTGTGGACAATTCTGAGGAATGTTGAACCCTATTTTCTTCCTCTAATAATATAGAAAAAAAGTCTTTATGGGCTGCCTTGCACTATATGTCCAGATAACAGAAAGTCAGTAAATCCCTGTGGTGCTTAGTTGTACTTTCCCTTAGATCAAAGGTCAAAGAAGGCGCAATATGATTTTGCAGCTGGGACCTTACAGACAGGATGTATCAGGAGAGGACCATCGTCATGTGAAACACAGGATGAAGTTTCTATAGAATCCTCCTCTTTCCAAGAAGATGTGGAGTCTGATTGTCCTCAAATTTTCTGGGCTTCTCTTTTCAGAAGGCAGTGCATGCACGCTCAGTCACTACTCAGTCATGTGTGACCCTTTGAGGCCCTGTGGACTGCAGCCCACCAGGCTCCTCTGTCCATGGGATTTTCCAGGCAAAAAAACTGGAGTGTGTTGCCGTTTCTTTCCAGGGGATCTTCTGACCCAGGGATTTGAACCTTCATCTCCTGCTTTGGTGAGAGCTTCCCTGGTGGCTCAGGTGGTAAAGAATCTGCCTGCAATGCAGGAGAACTGGGTTTGATCCCTGGGTTGGGAAGATTTCCCTGGAGAAGGAAATGGCAACCTACTTCAGTATTCTTGCCTGGAGAATTCCATGGACACAGGAGCCTGGCAGGGCTACAGTCCATGGGGTCGCACAGAGTCGGACATAACTGAGCGACTAGGCACACTCCTGAGTTGTCAGGCATGTTCTTTATCACTGAACCACCTGGGAAACCCATTTAGAAGGCTGTCGCAAAATCCTCATTCCATCCAAGAATATGACTGTACACCAAGGCTCAAAGCTCAAGAATAAACATTCCTATGGCATCCACAGATCTTCCCTGCTCAATGTTTAATAGACATTCTGTCTTCTCAAGGAAATTTAAGTTCCCAAATCACTTCAAGAATTGAATTGGAAAATGTAAAATTTCATGTTGATCCTGGGTAAAATAAGAACTGGGCTTCCCAGGTGGCTCAAGTAGTAAAGAACCTGCCTGCCAATCTAGGAGACATAAGAGACACAGGTTCAATCCCTGGATCAGGAAGATCCCCTGGAGGAGAACGTGGCAACCCACTCCAATATTCTTGCTGGAGAATCCTGTAGACAGAGGAGCCTGGCAGGCTACAGTCCATGCAGTCGCAAAGAGTCGGACATTACTGAAGCAACTTAGCATGCACACACACAAAATAAGAACTCTGATTTCCCAGCTTCTTTCCTTGAGGGATTGGATAGTTTTAACCTGTGACTTTTACTTGTGTTAACTTTTCATCCACATTGTGCTTTTTTTAGGCCACCCAGACCTGTAACCAGCATGAATGACACACTGTTCTCCCACTCTGTCCCCTCCTCAGGAAGTCCTTTTATTACCAGGAGGTAAGTTCCAGTCCTATTATAAAACAAACCCTCTCTTTGATAATGAGCCTTGATTCTGTGGCAAGAAAAATATTCTCATGTAAGCCAAGTGCAGAAGATTATTATTAGAAACAAGTTTGTAAATATCTGTCACAAGGCATCAATTTCATTCATTTGGATGCTTTTGGAGAGGGCAGGGATGGCTTTGGGGATGAAAGTCACTCCTGGAAACTTGCATTTACAATCCATCCATAGTAAGAATGTGCAGTATGTTTAAGTTTTACTTCTAACACACATGCATTCTATATCATTGAAAAATTCACTTTTATAGCACCTGGAATGGCCCATTTAACCTGGGGAATTGGCATCTCTAGATGAAATAAGAAATTATGATGGACATTCTGAAGCATCTCATAACATAAAAAACTCCAGATATAAAAGAATCTTCTTAGTAAATTCTAGAGTTCCTGAGGCTAGAGGCTCAAATCCAAATTTGGACATATAGTTTCTACATAAGTAACTCATGATAAGAACAAGAACTTTAAAAAAAGAGAGAGAGAGTGGATACAGATCTCATCTTTTAGCACAAAGGTCCACTGCCATGTAAGCAAACAGGTGAAGCAAATACTTCTTCCCAAACCAGCACAGTGAGTAGGCAGAGGTCAAGATGTACTTCAAGTCATTTGATCAAATAGGACAAATAAAACACCAGAGAATTACTTTAGAAATAAAGGGAGAAGGCTCACAGAAAAACAGGAACAAAGGTGAAGGAAATTTAAGTGGGCAAATGAATGAAAGATTTAACATGCCTTTCAGTCAGAAAAAATAAGTAAAACAGCCTCGTGTGTTTCAAAAACAGTCATAATCAATCTTTTCCTCAAAGAGTTGCTAAGGCATCAGTTTCCCTGTAATATCCTGGGATGTCCTAGTGAAGATGTACAGATAATGAGACTTAGAACACTGCTGATTTTTTCCTTCGAGTCCCTGGATTTGCCTGTCTTCAGGAACCTGAGATGAAGATGTTCCCCATAATTGTAATTAGTGGAATAAACAGAATGTGGTCATTCATAGTGTTTCCTTCCTATAAATCCAGCAAGTCTGTAACAAATAGAAATGGGGAGGCAATTGAACGACAGAACATCCACAGTGAAATCCTATGGTTGAAGCCCTCAGTATGTTCCTTTAGCATTCCTTGTCAGAACCACCATCACATTCAACCATCTTTTATAAAACAAAATTATGAACTGTAAAATCTATTAGAAACACGGGCCTGTGCCTCTATGTTAGGAAAGAGATTCTTGTATTAGGAAGCTCTGCATTCTGTGAATGTCCAGCAGAGATAGACCCCATCCTTACTGAAGGTCATTTTATATCATTTCAGCTCGGACGGTGCTTATGGTGGATACGTCTAGATGGATAACATGGCTTCTTCCACTCTAAACTATTCCTATAATACTTTGAGCTGTTCTGCTTCCTCCAGGGTGCATGGTATCCCTTAACCCAAAATAGGATCATTTCCCTTTTTTCCCATTTTCAGTCCTTCTAGAATGTTCCCTTTGAAACACAAGCGCATTGTTTACAATTTGCACTTCTTGCTATCCTCACTGAGGTTGGCCTCTGGTTTCTGTTTTAAGGGTGCTGCTCAATAAAGCTGTGTACACTGAACATCTTTCCTCTCTGAGTGGGCCTTGCTCTGTCCATGGGAGGTTTTAACGAGGTCTCATTGTTTGCATCCCTCAGGTTACCTGAGGGGATAAGTGCATCCAGCCCTGTGGCTGAGGAGCATTCGCTCATAAAGCTGTATGTAAATCAGCTTGACCACGGCACACGGTCAGTATCCCAGCCCTGAATCACTAATCATAGTCGTAGCTCTGTAGCTAGACTGCTGGTCCTAAGTCATCACTAAATCCCCTTGTAGTTTGGGGATTCGATGGAGAAACAGGTCTTCTGGGGATTCATGAGATTCCATTGAGATTTCTAACTTGAGCTGCACTGCTCAGCTCTTTTCTCTCTTTTCCACTTCTCCACTTCTTTTACTGATTTATGTCTTCATACCGGTATGTATGAGATGCGTGTATGTGAAGAGTACCACACTGGATCTCCTTCTTTGGACGATTCTTTGCTTTGGTACAGTTTGTAAAACCCCAGATGGCGATTCCTTAGACTTGTGTTAAAGAGCCTCGTGGAATGATTCCAGCCCTAACTGGATGAGACCAGGACAACATCACATGGCTAGACCATATTGTAGTAAAAAACTTCAGGATTTATATCCTTCTGTCCCACTAAGCTTGCACCAATTTTCCCCCAGGTAAGCAACCTGATTCCTACTGAAGCAGCAATTTCAAAAAAAACAAAAAACAATTTCAGACTCTGAGTGCTTAATTTCTATTATTTGATAATGCTGGTGGTGATCCACTGTTTCTTTCTTAGCTGGGACCATACACTAAGGTTGATGGAAACCATCTTGCCAACTGTGGACATCAGTTAAAGGCGCTGATCTCCCAACAACTGGAACTGAACCAAAGAAATAAGACCTAGAGCTCAGCCCTCACTCCTACCCCGTTGTAACTGCCCGTTTGAAAATCTGATGAAAACTAAACAAGCCAAGAGTGGTGCTGGTCAGTGTTAAGGCCACATTAAAAAAGTAAAGAAGTTTGCCATGAGATATTTTATTTAGTCTGAGTTTTTGGTCTTTGGTATAATGACAGATCTTACAAAGATAAAGCAGAATGAGGATGAATTGAAATCACTACTTCAGAATCCTTGCCACAAACTCTTGGCATTCCTCACCTAGAGTCCTTTACAAGCGTACACTTTGATCTTCAAAAGGTGTGAGGGTCTATCTTTGAAGTCTTTTGACATCCTAGTAACCTAACTCACACATATTTATGAGGGTGTAACTCTGGCCACCACCACTGTCTGCCCCATCCCCTCTTCTGATATCTATTTCTAGCTACATACTTGATTAACTTTTCCCTTAACTTAAAAGAAAAGAGGGAATTCTCAAAGATACTCTCCCTTAACCCTTTGAAGTCTGTGTGTGTGTGTAAGAACTCAGTGCTGTTTAGCTGTTAGATACAATGTGGATCAAATAATGCAATTCATGAATTAATTCACTTCATTCATTTTCTTGGTCATAACTATATCCCTAAACCTAGATTATTTTCTTATAAATGCATGAATTTATAAGAAAGGGAAGCATATTACCACCACTAGGTAAAAAGCTCCAATGTATGATGTATGATATAAGATAGGGCAGCCACATTAAACTTATGAAAGATAGCTTGCCATTATGGCAAATATTATTGCAAGACCTGACCACAAATTTGGGCCCCGAAGGCCCTTTTTTCCACCTCACTGCCCACAGCATTGTGCCTGTGAGTATCTGCTCTGTCTCTTTTGGCATCATGCCCCCTTTGTAAAAATCTTAATTATCTGCCAAAATCCTTCCCTCATTTATGTGAGAGAGCTAACCAGTCTTTTCTTGTGTAAAACATTTCACTAATTATGGCTATTATGGCCATTTCTTCATTAGCTACAATAAGGGCATTCTAAAAGTTTGAATAGTTAAATTCTTTTATCTTCAATTTTAGAAACATCCCTTAAATATTTTTGCAAATACAGCCCCTAAACTCTTAACTGCTCATGAAAAAAATCACTTTGGCTATTATGTATACCATCCAGCCAGATCTGATCACTGTCCCAAATGTTAGAGCCTGGCTTATGATTCACAGTGTTGAACACAATCTAACATACTGTTTTCTGGTTTATCACCATGTTATTTGGTTAATTACTAATACTGTCTCAGGTCCAGGGGTCCATATGGGGAAGATATGCTGCCTACCCATGCATTTCCCAAATCTTGATTCTTTTCAATGAAATAGCATTTGCAAATTATTTTTGTTGGTTGACTGGTTGGTCAGTTGGTTGATTTGCTTGGATTTTCAACCACAGAAAGGCTAATTCTCTGTGTCCTTTTTGATTTTTTCAAATGACACTTTGCCTTCCCAAAGAGTCTTTACCTAACAATCCAGATTTTTAATCTGATGTATAATGTTCAAACTAAACTTGAAGCATTTGTGCTTTGGTAATCAAAAGTGAATAGAAACAAAACTGAGGTACTGAATCTAGCCTTTGCTTCTGAAAATCAGTTTTCTTCATAGTTAATATTTTCTAAGATTAAAGCCTTTTCCTTTTTAGTCAGGAAAGTAGATAAATTTATAAATCAGCATCATAAAAACAGATATACACTTATAAATCAACCACCTGAAGATTTCTTCTTTCTTTTTATACTTTAGGGTCATGTTGTATGAAATTTGAAATAAACACTCTCTGCAAATATGTATCCCATGTAGCTTTCTTTATTTCCAGAGTTCCACTGAGATGCTAGATTTTTTTCAAACTTGAATTAAACTGGTCTTCGAACTCAACTCTGTTCCCTATACTAAAATGTTAGTGTATAATTAAATATGCAGTCACCTCTTCACTCTTTTACTACAGTTGCTAAGTTGCTGTCTGTGTGTGCCCCATACCCAGCAAACTTTTTAGGCATCTCTTGGCAAAAATACAATTGATGACAGCTTAATACTATCTGGGGAACACAGTAAATGTAGTGAATCAAATATGACCTAGAATTCTTATTATTTCTTCCATGGTACCTGCTTAAAATGGTCTGACTTTCATGCCAGCCTGAATTGATGACAACTCATTTTCCCACAGAGACGCTGAGCTATTTTTATGCATGTTTGCTGATTTGCATTGTGGAAGATACTTTACATTTCACATCAAAGATATTGAAGGCTAGAAATAGAAAGGAAACAAGAGTTGTCAACAAATTATCACTTGAAAAACCTGACTTGTGGACTCTTTTTTATTGTATTTATATTAGTTTGATGACCTTGGCATAGTCTGTGGTAATTATAGTGATAAGCAAAATGTTATTCTCAACTGACAGATAAGGAGGGAGCCATGTTTACAAGTCATTCTTCATAACCCCAAACACCAAAAATTTTATCAATTATTTAAGAATCAATAAAAAAGGAAATATCTGTTCTTAATTTGCCATGGTTCAAATATCATTTTCCATTTAACCATTGTAATGATAATTATACATAATTTGTTTACATTATATTATTGCTCTCTGCAAGACTTTTATTTAAATCTTGTTACTTTCATGTTAAATAAAAGAGAAATATTTGGCTAGAGCTAATGTAATAACACAGCATAAGCAGAAGTGGTTTTTAAGACTATATGGCAGGCCTAAGCAAAAACCCAAAGAGTAGTTGTGTGTGGTTTTGTTACCTAGCTTGTGTGCATGCTTGCTAAGTCACTTCAGTCGTGTCCGACTCTATGCAACCCTATAGACTGTAGCTCCCCAGACTCCTCTGTCCATGGGATTCTCCAGGCAAGAACACTAGAGTGAGTTGCCATGTTCTCCTCCAGGGGATCTTCCCAACCCAGGGAGCAAACCAAGGTCTCTTAAGACTCCTGCATTGACAGGCAAGTTCTTTACCACTAGTGCCACTAGAATACCCCAAAATGTTTGCACTTAAGAAAAAAAACTCCTGACATCAGTTGTCATCCTCTGAAACTAAAGGGTGAATTTAAATAAATAAATATGAAATATTTTGAAATCATTCTGTCCTTCCAGAACCCATTATGTCAGAGCGTGTGTGTATGTGCGTGTGTGTGAAAATTTTTGGAAGAAGGCAATTTATCTTTTTATATATTCTTTCCCTATACTCCCTATACAGAGTATAAAAAGGAATTGGTGAAAAAATAAGAGAATTCTTTAGAAAAGAATAATCTAAAGGATTATTTACAGCCTCTTTTCTTTCAGCAGAACACATGAAATTCAAATTTCACCTGGTCATACCTCCTGGGTATGATTGTCCCCACACCCAGTAGTGAAAATATGTGTGCAGAAGGAAGTCTTTATACAATGGCAGGACCTGGTGAAAAGAAAATAAGGATAATAAGAAAAAGAGGCATGTATACACACAATCTTAGGATGATAGCTTTGCTTCTCCTTGGGTTTCAGATTAGAAAAGATTTATCACCCACAGTCAAAAGGAGCCCCAGGTAGTTTCCAATTTCAGAGCTGAAAAAGGAGGAATGCATTTAAATTTAAAGACGAGGCATGCAGAAGATGGAGAAGCTCCAAGAGCTAACAGTACAGAAGAGCCATTGGAACGTTTGCCATCCCAGAAGCAGTCACTTCTTTTTTTTAATTTTTTTTTTAAATTGGAGGATAATTGCTTTACAATGTTACGTTGGTTTCTACTGTATGGCAGTGTGAAACCAGCCGTAGGTATACAGACAATAGCCAGAAAATGAAAGCAATCTAGATGTCCATCAGCAGATAAATGAATAAAGAAGTTGTGGTGTATATATATACAATGGAAGACTCATTGGAAAAGACCCTGATGCTGGGAAAGATTGAGGGCAGGAGGAGAAGGGAGCAACAGAGGATGAGATGGTTAGATGGCATCATCAGCTCAATGGACGTGAGTTTGAGCAAGCTCTGGGAGATGGTGAGGGACAGGAAAGCCTGGCATGCTGCAGTCCATGGGGTCACAAAGAGTTGGACACGACTGAGAGACTGAACAACAAATATGCAATGGAATATTACTCAGCCATAAAAAGGAACAAATTGAGTCAATCGAAATGAAGTGGATGAATCTAGAGCCTGTTATACAGAGTGAAGTAAGTCAGAAAGAGAACATCAAATATCATATATTAACACATATATATGGAATCACTTCTTGATAAGGCTCTAAGTTCCAGTTGTGCCAGATCCCAGAGACCACAGTGAATTGGAAGTATCAGCAGTCTTCTCCAAGAAGACTGCCAGAGCTACAAAATGAAAGTTTAAACATCAAAATTACTCTATGAAATATTGTGAGGGGACATTGCTTTAGAGAGATCATCAAAAACTACTTAATGTCACTACCTTGACAACAATTCAGGAGAAAATTTGTTCCACTTTGCTTCCTTTCTTCAAGCTCCTTGCAAGCTGCAGAAGCAATTCTGGTAAAGATACTTCACGTGAAAAAAGTCTTGATAGACCCAAGTTTTAAGTGCAACCTGCCTCTTTGTCTGCTTTCTCAGTTCTTGATCCATTTCATTTGAGTGCCTTTTTTCCCCTGTTTTCATCACTCACTTGGTTTCCTCTATATTATTTTTTAAATTTATTTATTTAACTTTCTCTTTTGGCTATGCCACACAGCATGTGGGAATCCTAGTTCCCCGACCAGACATCAAACTCGCACCCCTTGCACTAGCAGCAGAGTCTTAACCACTGGACCACCAGGGAAGTCCCTTGGTTTCCTCCATCCAGGGTCATAGTTTTGGCCTCCCAGTAATAAATGATGAGGAGAAGAATTCAAGGTACTAGGTAGTCGAGAAACCATGTGGACAGTGAGGACCAAAAGTCAGAAATGCTCTTGGCACTAGATGCTAAGAACTGTAGCAAAATAAGATAAACGGTTTATTTCCACAAACTCATAAATGTAGAGAATGGCACCCCTATATATACCAAGAACTACTTTGCCTAAGGATTCATGTGGGAAAGGAAAGGAACATGAAAGGATTTGAATGATGCCTTTGAACCAGCACTGGCAAGGGCCAAGGCAAAGAAAATGGCAACGAAAAGACAAGAGATGTGTATGTACATCTGCTAGTCCCTTTGAGGAAGGAAGGGACTGGGAAAGAACAAGGGGGACAGGCAAGTGGAGCGAGGAAGGAGAGAAGGGCCCAAAGAACTGGAGAGACAGAAAGAATGAGCCGCCAAAGGAGAATCTGGGCAACTGCTTGCTTTCTGCTGCCAACCCTGCACCATCGTGATGTCAGCAGGGCTCCTCCAGTGCCCGAGCTTGCCAGTAAGTGGTGGGACACACACAGCTTTGTTGACACATCTCCTTTCTCCCATAAGGCATCACCAGAGTAATTTGTAACAAACACATCCTCCTGGTTAATCCTCCCATGTTTCTTTTTCTTTCCTTCTTACACACTCATCATCAGAAGTTGTAACTGTGTAATTATTAGGCCTTTGGTTTAAGGAAATAGCACAATTTCTGAGACTCAAGTTACCATGTAGCATATGTAACAAAGCAGAGAAATAGTTTCAATTGGAGGGAAGAATTTTGACTATTTCCCGCAGTGTTTTGAGTGGTTTTACAGGGATCTGAAATCAGTTATATAATAGGCAGATCTATTTTGTGTTGTTAAAAAAAACGTTGGGGGAGGTGACTGGACAGTGGTAGGACTGTAGCTACTGGATAATGAGCGTAGAGGGCTTTGCTGTCTTGGCGGGATGGTGGGAAAACAACTCCAGTGGCTTAAAGTGGTTATTTGGCCCAGACAACATGTTTCATAGTCTTAGAAGTTCAAAATCAATATGCTGTTAAAAAAGCTTAGCTTCATCAGAAAATTAAATCTCCTAGAGCATTAATTTCATTTTTAAAGTCAGTTTTGTTTGTGTGAAGTTGTACTTTTTGAGTAATAGGTACAATCTTGAAAAGCTGAATGAAGTCATATATTTAACAAACCCATGACTACCTACTCTGTAGTAGATATTTTTTATAGATAAACTTTGTGTTTAAATTTACCATAAGCCTCACTACTTAAGGAATCTTTGTAGTATATATTATTGTAAATTACAAGAATTCCAGTTATAATATGCATAATTTTAATGTGCTATTCATTTATAAATTGCTATATTTTGTGCTCTGTAGTTTGAAAAAGTGGTACTTTGTAGTAAAACCTTAAAACTTTTAGTTGAAGTTTTTGAGGTTTTTAGTTCCTTTATTTAGCCATTCTTACATTTATGGGCTTCCCTGGTGTCTCAGATGATAAAGAATCTACCTGCAATGCAGGAGATCAAACCTGGGTTTGATCCCTGGGTTGGGAAGTTCCCCTGGAGAAGGGAATGGCTACCCACTCCAGCATTCTTGCCTGGAAAACTCCTTGGACAGAGGAGCCTGGTGGGCTACAGTCCATGGGATCACAAAGAGTCGGACACTATTGAACAGCTAACAGTTTCACTTTCACAGTTTCACATTATATTAAGAAACTGGAAAAGTTGGGGAAGTTTGTGGTAAAAAATCCAATAATTTCTACCCAAGTAATTAAAAACTTGGTATTCAAACAGTCACACAGTTAATTTTTTCATTCTCCGTGAAGGGAGAAAGGGGTAGTTTTAAGTATATCAGTGTTGCAGGGCAAATTCTTAGCCTACCAAAGAACAAACTTTCTTTCAGCATATTACAAGCACAATTATAATACTAAGAATCAATATATTTCTCAGTGAAGCATGCATATTCATTATAGTAAATCTTGGGTGACTTTGGCTTGGCCACATGTTATTAGTTATTATTTATATTTCTATTTATTCTTTAATAAAACTAAGTTGTCTTTTTTTTTTATCACAACCATAAGTTGTCATAAAATTACCAATTAAAATGAACGTTCTTCCTACTAAATATAAAATAAGAATTTGCTCTATTGGTGGGCCTCTCTTCACCAGTTATAGACACAAGGTGTATGAATATATATATATTTATAAGGCTCAAAGGTTTATTTCTCTGTTTCTCTGGAAGTTTTCTTTGCAGCTTCACAGCCAAGGTCAGGTGATTTGTGCCTGAAGTAGGAAAGCACTTTTAATATGACACCAGTCTCTAGGTAATTTTCAATTCTCTGTTCAATACAGAAAAGCAGAGGATAGAGAGCAGGCTGCAGAAGTAAGCTTCTTGTGTGGGGTCTGAAGGCTGGCAGGACTTAGTGAACAACAGCACTGTATACAAGAGAGTCTGGGGAGTGCTGAATGAATGAACTGTCATTGTGTCTAGGCATACGCGATCTATTTGTTAGGCGAATAGCAGAGGTCAAATCTGGGATCATAGTGGGGCTTGCGTAGTTGTAATTACAGTTCTCAGGCCAGGTTGCTACTTCTAGCCCAACTCTGTGGACATCTGAAAACATCTTGAACATTTCAAAGTAATGAAAGCTGTCCAAATGGAGCTTGGATGTAGTCTTGGGAGTTTCTGTTGCCAGTTTCTATTCTCGAATGCATTGCCGTGTTTACGCTCTTCTTGGCTTTCCCATCTTATTAACCAGCTCTCCTCCCAAGGACAGTGAAGTCGAGCAGAGCAAACTGCTGGCTAGGGCTGCTCCAGCCTTGCTGAAGGGCAAAGGGTAAGTTAAAGCCAGAGTGTGCTGAAACCCTGAATTAACTGAACTAAAAATGCAGATTTCTTGTGTCAAAGATGCTTTGTGTTTGAAAGACCATCTTTGATTTAGTCAAAGCAGCTTCATCATAACCCCATTAACAGCACCAAGTAGTTATTTTGAGTAGACACATCTGTGTTGTTACTTGCTTTCCCTGATTTCCTTGTTAAAATGACTAAGCTTCAGATTTGATCTTCCAAAAGATAATCTTTGCTTACAACCTATTTCAGTGTATTTACTGTACAGATGAATTTCTTGGACTTCGTGGTTTGAAGAATGCAAATCTGCATTCTTAAAAGTTACTTGACCTAAGTGGAAATCTTTTTTTAAGTGAGTGAAATGACACTGTGAATTTCATGGTTTGGATTTTGCTTGTGTTTTTTCATAGAACATCGCTTAGTTTTCCTTTACCTGCTTGGTTTTCTAAATGCCCTTACTGCCACAAACTCACTCCTGCCTGCCCCACTTATTTCTGTCTACCTCTCCTAACATCCTTTCTTTCCTCCTGCCCCTGTTTCAGGATACAGTACAGCCTGAATGTGGCAGACAGGCTAGCTGATGAACATGTTCTCATCGGGTTGTATGTCAACATGCTCCGGAACAGCCCACCATGGTTAGTGCAGGGTTGGCTGCTTGACTGTCCTGAGACAGGGGAACAGTCTGATCTCTTGACAAGCAGTCTCAGCAAGGGCCAAAGTCACTGGATGGCAGAGGTGTCACTAAAGTACTTTTCTAATCAACTCAATTAAAGTATCTTGTGATATTACTTTGGACACTGCCCATCAACGGACCATAGAATTCACATTTTTGCTAATATCTCAGCTAAAGGACAAGTTGTGTAAATGAGTGCTGTGCTAAATATTAGCATCTAGGGAAATTCAGGACTCTGGGTCCCTCTGGTCAATTCTGTGTTATATGTGCCATATCAAATTACTGCACGATGGTGATGCAAGAATTTGTCTTATTCCGAGGACTTGTGTGTTTCTGCCAATTTGGAGAACAATGCTCCATTCTCTTAAGATAGATGTGGAAAAGAAATAGGATGAGATCATACCATGGAAATCATTTCCTGAACAATGATAACAGTGGGAGAAATTGTCTTTCAACTCTTTCTTACAAATGTTTCAGGGTACTCATCTTGATAGATGCAAAGCTTACTTTCAAATGTGTTAAATGTGTGAATTCAGATAAAGTATTAGAATAACGGCATTCCTATAGTTTTCCCTTTCTATTTTAGTTGTGACATAGGAGATTCCTCCCATTGGTGCAGGTTAGTTAATAATAAATGTACATTTTCAATTTGAGTGGAAATAAACAGACTGTATAATTATCCTATGTTTCATCCTAGTTTAGAAAACTATTTTACAAACATGTTTTCCAAACCAGTTCCTTAGAAATATTTGATTTTACTTAATAACCCTAATATAATTTCTCTGAACTAAGAGCCTATGGATTTTTTTGCAGTCATAACTATGTAGGGGTTAAATTTCCTTTAAAATTGATTCCCTTTCTTCTACTGTGTCGCAGAAAGCATCCTTGAAACATTTGGCATCACTCACCACTTGGTATTGTTAACCACTTGTTTCTAGAACTTTCCTCTCTTGACTGCTTCTGATGCCTTAGAAATATTTTTTGAAAGATTACCACATGAGTTTAAGTGATACATTGAATATTTATTTGTTTTAATAGTTATATATTTATCTTAATTTGTATTTAAATTTATATATATATATATATTCAGCATATCGGTTTAATTTTTACTATAGCCTTCTGTTTTGGGAGATAAAGATGCACTCTTCAGCTAAACCCATCTCTTTGTTCAAATTTTCCCAGTTTGTAGATCAAACAGTTACTTTCTTTTCTTACATCTCTACCTCCCAAAACTACAAGTGGAAAAAGTAATGGTTTTCATCTTACTCCCAATGAATTTGGACCACCCCCAGTGTTATATGGTAGCTGAAACAACAGAACTAAATGCTTAAATTACCTCCCCCCCGCAAAATCTGTGTTGGGAACCTTCAAAGGAGGATATAGTAAAGATTCAATCATGTCTGAAGGCAATGCCGAGATCTCACGCCATGTCCTCCCCTGTAATTCTAAACACATTCCAATTATTTCTACAGTTCTTCTTTGACCTTTTCTTAATTAAAGTTGTAACAGAGAAATCTCCAAAGAGGAAAGCCCGGAGTTTGACACTCCCAGCCCTTTTCCCTCCTCAAGTGGTTAATCATATTGACTTGATGGCCACTTAAGACCATAAAACTGTCTCAGCAGAGACACCTTACATCGACTTGATGAAAGCTAGATGTGATTTGTCTTTTGAAAACAAAGCAGAATTTAAGACTGATCAATGAAGCCGACTCCATTTTAATAGCTCCTGCTCTCCATAATTCTCACCGCTGTTTTCCATCCTTAAAAAATTCCAGCTTCTCTTTTCTCATTTTCCCCCTCCCTTTCCTTTATTGTAACTAGTTGCTAATGATTCCCCACACCTGCCAGGATTCTGTAAGCGATGAAGTGATCTCTCCTCTCCTTTATTATCATCATAGCTATGATACTTTATGATACTTTACTGTCATTCAACTAGAGTGAGATCTAGAATGATGGCAACCACAAGAGCTACTTTTTTTTAAGTATATGAAGCATATGATTGTGTTTTTACTTTGTTTTTGTTTTTTATTATTTTTATTGGAGTATAATTGCTTTACAGTGTTGTATTAGCTTCTACTGTACAGCAAAGTGAATTAGCTGTACATGCATCCCCTCTTTTTTGGATTTCCTTCCCATTTAGGTCAGACAGCATTGGGTAGAATTCCCTGTGCTATAAAGTAGGTTCTCATTAATTATCTATTTTGTGAAATTGAAAGTGCTAGTTGCTCAGTCATATCTGACCCTTTGCACCCCCATGGACTATAGCCCACCAGGCTCCTCTGTCCATGGAATTCTCCAAGCAAGAATATTGGAGTGGGTTGCCATGCCCTTCTCCAAGGGATCTTCCCCACCCAGGGATCAAACCCAGGCCTCCCGCATTACAGGCAGATTCTTTACCTTCTGAGCCCCCAGGGAAGTAGATAGTATCAGCCGTGTATATATGTCAAGCCCAAGAGCTATGGTTTTAAAGTATTTGCCTCACAATAAGCATTGTGTTTAAAACTTTATTTACATAATTCCCCCTGGTCCTTAGATAAGCCTGTAGAGTAAACATTCTCATCCCCATTTTATCAATTGGTAAAGATACCTTCAGAGAGTCTACATGATTCTCTCACAGACTCGAACCCACTACACAGTGGGGCAAGGATTTCTACCTTCATCTACTTGATCCCAAGCTCATAACCACAATGCTACATTGCCTATTATAAAGCCTATATAAATGCATGCTCTCCAGAAAGCTCCTTTAGACACTCCACACTGTATCCACCACATCTCTATTTACTAAAATTACATATCCTACTGTATTATTTTTATTTCATTTTAAGAGAGATTTTGAGCACATACTAGTAAAAGGAATTGGTAATAAATTACCATTTATGTATTTAGTTCTGCACATTGCGATTTCTTATTTTAATTATAAGCTTCAAAAGGACAAAACTTCTCAGTCTCTTGGACCCCATGACAGCAGCCAGCATATTAATAATAAATTTTACATTTATGAAGTGCTTAAAAAATTGCAAAGCCCTTTACCATATATTGTTTAATCTGCTTGTCAAAGCCCGTAAGTTTGGATATTATTATTTCTATCTCACTGATAAGCAAATGCCGGTTCCAAGACATTAAGTGACTTATCCAAGGTCACCTGCCAGCGAGGTCTTTTGATACTGAGTCCCATCTGTTTTCCACCTCATTTCTCAGTCTTCCTGTCTCTGTATCCTTCATGAGATGGTCTATAAACAGGAATCTAACAGTTGTTCTTGATTAAAAGGTATGTTTTTGCGATTATCCATATATGCTCCTAATTTACTCTGGGTGGGGGCATTTTTCCCTATATCTATTCTCCCCTGTATCTACTTAACATAATGGGAAACTGACTCATTTGTAGACAGTCTGCTGCTAAATTCAAGATGTACTTTTGTGTCCTTGCTGGTTCTGGTGTCAGATAAGCCAAACAAATAAACTGCAGCTCAAGGGAGAATTCCTAATTACTAAGTGAAGTTTTAAAAGCCTTAGTGGTTTTCAAGCACCTTCTTCAGTGGTGGAGGAAGAGTCTGAGAGTCACACAGTGAGGGCTTTTTCTGGGCTCCCCTAAAGCTTCCCCTGGTGGTTTATAGGACAATGGTGGCAGGCACACCAAGGAATATCAGAAACCAGCCCACAACTTGCAACTCTAACCATAATTAACCTTGATACTTACCAGTCAGACGTTTCTGGTTTGTTTCTTTCAACTCTGAAAAGATGGGCTTCCCCAACGGCCCAGAGGTAGAGAATCCACCTGTAATGCAAGAGTCGCAGGAGACATGGGTTCAATCCCTGGGTGGGGAAGATCCCCTGGAGGAGGGCACGGCAACCCACTCCAGTATTCTTGCCTGGAGAATCCCATGGACAGAGCAGCCTGGTGGGCTACAGCCCATGGGGTCTCAAAGAGTTGGACATGACTGAAGCGACTTTAGCACGCACAGGAGGGAAGAAGGCAGCCCAGTGTAGGCCACCATCTAAGCTTTGATGTCATGGTCCATTGCTGTCACTTTGTCAGGCCGCTGATCTCATATAACTAGGTTAAAATTTGTCCTGCTTATTGTTTTTCTCGAGTATGAGAAATTGGACATTTTGACGCCTATTTCCGGGTTTCACATATGAGGTCTAAGTAGTCATTGGCTCACTTGCTTCCTTTTTTTTTTTTTGCAGCACCACACAGCTTGTGGGATCTTAGTTCCCCAAGCAAGGATTGAACCCATGCTCCCTGCAGTGAAAATACACAGTCCTAAGCACTGGACCACCAGGAAACCCCCTTGCCTCCTTTAATAGATTCCTACGACACTTAAGTTCACAGCCCAGACCACTCCCCAGGGCTGTAGGTTTGTGTGTGATCTGACCTGTGCCTACCCCTCTCCTAGCCTCAGCTCCCTCAGAGTTTTCCCACTCAACCACAATACTTAGTCACATCAGTTTTGGATCAGTTCCTTGAAAATACTCCTAAAACTGCCTCAATAACCATGATACTAGCTTTTCCCTATGCCTAGAACATTCTTCCCCATTTTCCTCCTTCCCTTTCCTTCCACACACATGACCTTTCTCTTTCTCTGACTTCCAAATACTGATTAAAGGGACCTACCTCCTCAGGTAGGTGTCCCACACTAGTCTGATCATGGGACACTGTGTATTTCATTCCTGTCATAACTGTAATCATTCATTGCTTGGTTAGTTGGTTCACTACCTACCTTCTGCTTACAGGGCAGACCTTCTCAGACTCATTCACCACCATCTCTGTGGCATCAGCATGGTGCCTGGCATACCACAGACGCCCAGTAAAGGCCCACTGGGGTTGGAGACTATTGATAGTACTATAGACACAAAATTCCCTCTCACTCTAAACAAAATTTGTGAAGAGTCCTCAGAAAAAAATTTTTACTATAAAAATACTTTCTACTATTAAAAACAATCACCTATTATAAATTAGCC